AAAATAGTTTTTTAAAGGTAGACCCTGAAATGAATGCCATTTTTCAGTATGCCATTCCCCTGCCTCAATACCCGTATTTAGTGACACCTGGTATGCTAGCACATGCCTGTAATCTAAGCACCTAGGAGACTGAGGCAAGACAATCACGAGTTTGAGGTCAACCTAGGCTACAGAGCAAGACCCTGCCAGAAAAAAAGAAAGAAAAGAAAGGAAGAGGACAGGAGGGGAGAGGAAAGGAAGCATATTCTACTTTTTACAAATTTTCTTGAACTTTTTTTTTTTGCAGTACTGAGGCTTCAACTCAGGACCTTCACCTTGAACCACTCCACCAGCCCAATTTTTTGTGACAGGGTTTTTTGAGATAGGGCCTCACTGTTTACCTGTGCAGGCTTCGAACTGTGATCCACCTGATCTCTGCTTCCTCAGTAGCTAGGATTATAGGAGTGAGCCACTGGCACCCAGCTTTTTCTTGAACTTTTCTTGCCAGTAACAGTAGCATTAAAATGTGAATCTATGCTCGGTCTGTACACTTTTAGCAATTAATATACATTAAAATATCAAGGCACACTTGAAAATGGTTAAAGTTTTATAAATATTATTTGCTGTTTTGTAAAGGTATTCAGGTACTGTGATAGAATTGTTTCCCCCTGTAAACATAACCGAGAGGCAAAAGTAAAGCACACACTCTAGTCGATATTGTTTCCCCTTAAAAAAGAAAATGTTTTTATGAGTGTTAACATGTTAAATTACAAGAAAAAGATAGATTTAAACACACAATTAAGTATTTAGGGGTCAAGCATCCTATCTGAAATTGTTGAATGCTTCAGAAAAAGATAGATAGATGATAGATAGTTAGATGATAGATAGACAGACAGATAGACAGATAGATAGATGTGATAGGGCAAGAGAGAAAACAATTGTGACAAAATGTTGACAACAGGTGAAGGACATGTTGGCCTGAACTTGCACCATCCTTCCAACTCTTCTGTAGCTTTCAACAAACTCCTGATTTCTTTAAGAAAACTGGGGGGCGGGGGGCGAGAAATACAGCATATCCAAAACCTTATTTAACCATGGAATATTTTCAACCAACTCTATTCTTCTAAGCCTCTCTTAATGTCATACAGCATGTTAATGTTCCAAAGATATGATTAAGAAAATAGTGAACTAAACACTAATAAGCACTTTTCTCCTCAAATTTCAACTCTTTCAATTACTGCTTAACCAAACTTTGGCTTTCACTCTTTAAAGACGAGCCTCTGCATGCTTGACACTTTGTCTCAGAAGGTATTATTAAACATGTCTTAGCATACAGGTAAATACATGATTTACCTTTTTTTAAACAAAAACTGCATACTAACACATTAGCCTCTCAGGAAGCTCTTTACTACCAAATGTACAAAACTGAGATACTTCAGCATGTCACTGACATGGCTAAATGTGTGTTACCTCAATAAAGTTCATTTTCACCCCAAATACAGTTTTGTCTTCTGTGCTTCATCTTCAAAAGGTTATTGTAAAATCTCAGCTTTATTTTAACCTACCACCCATCCCTCTATTCTTGAAAGGGTTGTGGTCTTAAAAATGTACATGTCCTAATTATATAGCAGCAATCTTTTGCTACTGGTCTGATGTTTTTCCAGCAGAAAGGACATTTCTCACACCCTTACAAATCAATCTCAGTTGAACAGGCTTGTTCAGAGGTTCTTGTTATACAGCCTATTGCCAGATTCTTCCCAAGCTGAGAGACATTTAGTTGTTATTAAACAAGCAGCCTTCAATCGCCCACTTTTCTTTGAATTGATCTGAGCATTATTTGCGGGGCGGGGGGGGTGCATTTTGTTTTTAAGACAGGGTATTGCTATTTAGCCCAGGCTGTCCTCTAACTCACGATCCGCCAGCCTTAGGTTCCAGAGTACTGGAATTATAGGCATCTCCCAGTGCCAGGCCCTGGGCAATTTTATTTCATATGTAAATAAAATATATAGATATTATATATAATTTGTAACATACTTATGCAGTTGACATTGTACACTGAAATATAGTCTTTTGGAGATGTTTTAGTAATTGCATGTTGCAACTCCCTCATGTTCCAATCTACATATAATTCAAGAATTCTTATTCAAAGGTGCAGGACAGCCATGCATAATGGTGCATGCCTGTAATCCCAGCACTCGAGAGGCTGAGGCTGAAGGATCTTGAGTTCAAGGACAGCCTGGTCTATAAAGCAAGGCCCTGTATAAAAAAAACAAAACCCAAAGCCACCACCAAAAGAAGTTACAGAATAGTGAATGGAACTACAAAGTCACAATAAAACACCTCATGTTTTTAAATTGGAAATTTGCTTACTAAGTTCAACATACTCTTGCTAAGAAGGGACTCACGGGTTTTGTTTGCTCGGATTTACAATTTTATGAAACAGGAAGAAATGAAAATTCCCAGTTCCTTAAAACTGTGCAAACTGTCTTACAAGAATAATGTGCCATGCTTTTACTTTTCTAGATTCCGTCACATACCTGACTAATTGCCCATACTGTTATTCTACATAACCTTTTTTACCCACTTCCTTTTGATTTATATGCAATTGAATTAGAAACTACTGAACTGTCATTCCTTGAAATATTATTGTCATCCATATTCAACTGGCTGGCAGATTCTATAATTTCGTTTTCAACTCCATAAATATTTATTGAGTAATTATTACAGTCCAGGCTGCCACAATTACTATGGTGCTAGGAATACAGATGTATAATTCATATTGTCTGAGCTCTGAGAATCAGTCTCCAGTCTGACTTGAAAACAGTCTCTTAACAATGTCTGTAATAGTGTCTTTCAGATCACACGTGAACTTCCTAAAATAACGTCAGTGCCCCTCCCAGACAGACTAGTAGATTAGCACCACCTCGAATTTTTATGAAATGTTGGGCCTCAGAACATTAAACATGATATAAACTAGGAAAAACAGTATCCATACCTAGCTAATTCATTATTAATATTGTACCTACTATCTCATTTGGTCATCACAATACAAAAATACTAGTATTGCCAAAAATTAAGTCAATTGATAAAAGCTATCCTGTTTGGTAAAAGAGCCAAGATTAGAACTCACATCTTCCATTAGGTCACATTATTTCTCCAATATCAAAGACATTTTTCTAAAACAAAAAATTATATTTCAGTATTTGTTTCACAATTTCCAAAAACGGTTAATCATATTCTTTAGAGATATAGTTGAGATTAATAGTAACTTTTAATAAAAATTAAACCATAAGTACACACATTTACCTGTTATCTGAATTTAAAGTATTTACACTACTCAAAGTACTTAAAATAAAAAAGCAACTCCTTTATTTTTAAGCTTTATTTTATCACTCTTATCAAACACACATCAGAAAGCATATCAACAGTGCATCTTAATGTTAAGTCAGTTTACAACAAAACTGAACAAGGCAATTGTGTTTACAGAAAGTTTTCAGCAAAAAGTACGCAATACAGTCCATTGAAACACAGTTTTCATACTTTATAGGTATACAGGAAATTTGGAAAATAAAAGTTCTTTGCTACTCAGCAAGAAAAAATAAGTTTGAAAGATTTAAATGAAAATCAGAAATTTAGGAATTTGAGAAAAGAACTTCTTGGTACTGACATATCTACCTACATTTATAGTCCCACTTAGTTATAAAAAAAAAATCTCACAAACAGTAAGACATCACAAAAAACAAAGAACTATAGTGCCTAGAAATGCCAAGACCAATATGCTACTGAAACAACTGGTAGAAATGTTATAGACAAGTATTCACTGTGTTCTGTCATATTCTTATAGCTCTGAGGTGAAGGTAAACCTATAGGAGAGAATGCTCCTTATATAACTGGCTTTGGTTTAATTGATCTTTCACATTTTTTAGCCATACCTTCTTATCAAAAACAGCAATTCCATCTTTTCAAGGGGAAATAGCAGTAGGTTTTAATATTCACAAACTAACAACTCCAGTGCTAACACACTGTTAAAATTTATTGATCATAACTGGATTTCTCAGAGTGATCTCAAAGGTAGCAAAGATGGAGCCCTTTTTAGGGGGAAAAAAATCCTTTCTACCCCATATGTGACACTGTTCAGAGGATATTAAGGAATGTTAAATCATTTAAGATTTTTGAAAAAAGAATTAAGAATGAAAGAGTAAGTCCTGCTGGAAAAGATGTGACAACTTTGTGCTCTGCAAAGTAAGTAATACACAGAAGTGCAGCTTAACTTTTTTCACCATAATAAATAAACACTACTTAGTTCTATAAGGTGCTGTAACTTTGCAGCTAGTGCATGCTAATGCCACCCACTGTACCCAATGTGCAAAGGGAAACACGGAGACGGCTGATCCCGTTTCTTTCTGACCCTTGATGTGCATAAATGGTAGTGAACACCAAATACACAAAAGATGGAATTCAAATATTTTCTTTTAAAAATTAGGACAGACAATATGTATATTTAACCTGGTTTCATAAACTCTAATAATAACTTTTCTGGGGAAACAGAGAGGAATGTGTATGAAAGGCAATGTTTCTATACTACAGGTACCAAGCCTGGATTCTTCAAAATAAATATCATTTTTAGACCATTTTAGACCATGAAAGATTGCTAATACCAGTAAGGGAGCCATTTTCTTCTTTCATCTCTCTATTCTTTTCTTAATCTTTCTCCTCCTTATTCTTTAATCTGTCAGTTTTCTGACAATCCATTCTAATAAAATAATACAGCTATAGATAATTCAAATAACTGAAGAGATTTTAAGTCAATATATGCATGATTTTAGAACACCTCACTGCATTTGCTTTTATACATTCACTGTCCTGATTTCATGAATATTATTAAGGGGAGATAACCTAAAAGTTCCAACCTGGGATTAAAAAAAGTGACTACAAATAATTCACACTGTAATAGTTTACAGTAGCAAGTAGCTCTCATTTTTTACAAAAGGTTTTCCAAAAAAAAAAAAAGGGGGGGGGTAATTCCAGTTTTTCTTTCAGAATATGACTTATTCTCACTATATGTAGTATAACACAATCAGTTCTCTTCTGCACAACAAAGACTGATGGTCATGTAAGGCAAATAAGAATGCTTCTCTTTGCCTTTAAATTAAAATAATATGAATGTAATTCATAAGACATACATGGCCTTCAAAAAAGCCATTAATTTTCTTTAAGTATTGTGACAGCTACCCAATTTAATGAGAAATAATACTCATGAAACTGTTTGATAAGTTTCCCATGAATTCCAGCATATATGGTACCACAAATGTAACTAACATGATTATGATAACTCCCGGAAAGACACAAATAAAGCAAACTAAAACAATAATCCTCATAAGCAGTACAAGGAACAATAAAAGTGCTGAGTTATAGGGAAGTGAATAAAAATTTGATCACCTTAATGACCACTTACAAAATTTCTTAAATGCTTTCTGGTCTATAACTCTTTCTTTGACAGTCCATTTCTCCAATGAAATTACAGCAAAAATAATTAAAATTGTTTGCCTTCTTAAATGTCCTTAGTACGTGTCACTGTGTAAATCTACAGGTCATCATATAATTTAAAAAAAACAGTGAAAAACATTTGGGGAAGGTGAGGACAATGAAAAAAACCACAATATATCTCATAATGGCAGGTAACTTAAAACAGAATCAAATCTTTAAAATTCTGGGCACTCAAAAAACTAAAATGTTCATGTTCCTCTATGATTCAGAACAAAATGTAAATATGCCATAGGAGGCTCAGATGAGCTCCTTATGATAGAGATGAGACATCTGTATATTCACTGAGAGAACTAGTAATACTAACTTGAAAGACTACCATCTCAAAATAAAGGTAATTTACTGGGTACCTTAAGAAGAAATGGGAATTTTTTCTCAACTAACTGATAAACTGGTCTGTTTGTGAACACACCTGACAAAGAAATAAATAAACTACAGTAACAAGATTTGAGGAAGTAATCTGACATTAAAAATGGAACATTCAAGAAAGAATTAGATTTGCCAGAAAACTGGCTTTTCAAACATATGTAATATTGAAAGAGAATCAAATCTATGAATAGTTTTACACATAAAAAAAAAAAGAAGGTAAATCAAGGAAATTTTGGACTTTTATATGACCCAATCCAAGTTATTCCAAGGAAAAGGCAGAAGTGTAATTATCTTTTGAGCTTTCACCCAAATGAGTTTTAATTTTTTTCCAGGAAACACAAGGCACTTGCTCAAATCCATCTATGTATACATCCACCAGACTAAAAATCATGATGTGATTCCTTCTGTACCTTAATCTGAATAAAGTCACCTAGCATGTACCCTTGCATAAGAGTCTAGGTAAAATGTGTTTACTGAGTGTCTCCCTGATTCTACTATCCAGTTAACTATGTTATTATAATTACTCTCAGTTCCTGTGGTGATTTGCATTAATCATAAAAAATTCCATGCTAAGTATGACAGATAGTAGAAATTATATAAGATAAGGCTGATCTAATAAGTCAGAAAATAAGACCTAAGAAAATGTGCCAAAAGGTTAGTCACCTGCATTTGATCCATGAACTTAAAAGAGCCATGAAACAGCATCTGGTAAGTGTTCTGATTCTGTCTTTAATTTATTCCATAACTGATGCCTTATTGGGGGAATGAGGGAAAGTCCAGTGTAATAAGACAGAAACAAGCTTTACATCCATAGTTTTCCTTCAATTTCTTCTACATGGCAGCACTATTGTTGGCAGGTTAACTTTAACGCATCTCAGCACTCTTTAGCAGCTGGAGTATCAAAGAGAAGGCCATACTTCTTTCAATTAACACAAAAAGGATGAGTAAAACTGTTTTTATAGTTTTTCTTCTAAAAGCAGCCAGTTTTGGCTCAAGGTATTGGAAGGAATTTCTCTAAGGAGAGCTGCTCTATTGATGGTCAGAAAACAAGGAAGACATCCAGTAGTATATAGATCACTTAATGCAAAAGGACAATTTTTTTAATTCTTTTAAAATGCAGCCAATACTTTTAGCTAGTGCTGTCTCTCAATGACATGTCTAACTTTATTTGTTCTTCTCTAAACACAGCATTATAGTTTTGATAGTACTAGCTAGTCATTTCCTCCAATTATGTTTCTAAAGAACCCAAGTTTCCTATAGAATAATCACTTTATATGCTTATTTTCTGGGGCAAAATGTGCCATGGCAATACCATGGAACAAGACGGAAGAAACTGGGAGGGAAGAGGGAAGGAAGCACAGGTATTCATTTAGGGAAAGAAAAACTACCTGAGATAAGATTTGCCCCAAAGGTTAGGGATTAAGTGATATGAACCTTCACCTCTCAATAAGAAAACTTCTAAGTTTTCAATAACTTCAAGGAATCAAAATTCTTCTGTATACATTTCACCCTAAAAGAACCATGGAAACTGCATTTTTTACAATAATATTTGGTTCCAGTTTAAGAAAGATATTAAGATTAATTAAACTTCTGATATTATCAGAGGAGGGAGGGAGGATCTGCAAATGTCATCTTTGGTAGAATGGGCTAAGAGTTATAAAATGTGATTTAAATAATCATAGGGATCTTTTTTCAATTCTGTGACTTTTATATAAAATATTCAATTCAATGCATGATTACTTAGGCTCATCAATTATTCCCACAGCTTCCTTAAAATCTAGTTAGCATCTTCTGTAATATAATTCTACAGTGTTAAACACTACATACATGTATGAACACATCCATAATAAGATGATGATCAAAGAATGCTGTGAAGTGCAGCATCATGTTAGCAGCATACTGCAAGACTAAGCTTAAAAGCCTATTTGCAGCTTATTTGCAAGGATTTTTTTCTCTCTTTTTTTAGGGGTGGGGGAAAGAGGTACATGTACTAACCTAGAATACTTGCCCTTACAAAGAATTAATTTGGCAGAAGGCATGACTCAAGTAGTAGAATGCCTGCCTAGCAAGTATAAGGCCCTGAGTTAAAACTCCAGTACCTCAAAAAAATTAAGATAAAAAAATTTGTACTGTATGTTCATCATTAGATATGTAAATATCTGTTTCTGATTACCACAGAAGTGGCTATCAGTGTAGGTATTTGTTTTAGAAAAGCTTAGGTCTTCACAGTACTGGTTCTATTCCAATTCTGACTTGAAAACAAACCAACGAATCAACTCCTAAAAGGGCCAAAATGAAAAATAATAGTTCTTTCTAAGGGCACGTTCTGAAGACCATGCTACAAGACCCTTTGGTAATTCATAATTCAGCTTCCTTATACCAAATTTCACTTCATGATATATATTAAGGGAGAGTCTTGAATAACTTGATTGCTATAATAACTAAATAAAACACTATTTGAACAGGGTAAAACAATTAACCATCTAAAATGCAAATTCTAATTGATCTCTCAATAACTTGCATGGCACACACAGGGAAGACTACACAAGGAGGCTTCCAGCAGGGAATGATATAAAAAACTTTTTCCTTAGGAAAAAAATTAATAAATAAAAATTTTCATTCAGGTAAGGAAATAGAAAAAATATTGTCACCTGTATACAATGTCTTTTTTTGTATAATTACTGCTTTATATAGGTTTCCTAATTTTTTTATACCTTTAAAGGCAATCTATCATAAATTGAGAAGAATCCATAACTATAATTTTTAAAACCATTTAATCAGGTTGATTAAAACCTGTGTCCACAAACTCAAACATGCTGACATCATCTACTCAGGAATACATTAGGATTGCTATGAATCCTTTCAAGAATTTAGCATTTCTTCCTTTCTACTACCACCTTATTATATCTACACCTTTTTTTACTTCCTTACAGTCAAAAGCTGTTCCTCTGGCTTCTCTTCAGTTAAGGACAGAGAACAGTGCGGAAGGGAGCGCAGGGTACTAAGGAGGTGGATTAGAGACAGAATCGAATTAAAAAAGGATCCTTGATTATTACCTTCTCTTTCCCTGTTTCTTCAATGAACATCTAACTCCTTTTTTGGGTTTTTTTTGATCCACTTTAGTTTTTCATATAGTAGGGAGGACCACATCTTGAGAGATCTTACAATTGTAGAAGATTCACCACGAAAAAAGATGAGCCAATCCAGGGCCAAAAGTAGACTGAAGGATGGGTAAATTTACATACATCAAAACTTTCTCTTTGTTCCCAATTACTTGGAAAGTTTCAATGTAACCCTGGTCTAGATTCCAGTTTGTTCTGAGCCTCTCAGGGATGAACTGTTTTGTCATTTACATTCTATCAGTCAGACCAACTCTCAAAAAAACCTACATTCTAAATCTTACAGATATGAAACAGGTAGGGAAGAGATGGGTATAGACTGTATTAGCTCACAAGACTCACACTATAAAGTACACTGACTCAGATTTACTCTTTCGCACCTGCACACCCACTCAAGCATACATACTAGACATAAAAATTGTGCAAGATCAAGCATCAGCTTTCTATTTAAAAAGCCTTAATAATAAAAAAAATGGTGATAGGCTCACTGCAGTTTCTTTAAAGGAATACTAAGTACTACAGTACTCCTTTAAAAAATTCACAACTCAGTATTAGGAACATGGTAGGTAACTGCTGCTTGACAATTACTTAACATTATTGAGAGCATCCAGTGCCAGCTATGGGTATCAACAAGAACCACCTGACAACATAAAGGAATAATCTGTAAGTGATGTCTGTCACCAATCCTAACAAATTTGTTAATATTCACTATGACATTATTCATCCTTGCTTCATGATCACATAAAATAGTATCTTTTTAGGTTACAGACTGAAGAGCAGCACCTGCTACTGCACAAAAAAAGGTTGCCCACATGGATGCTCTAAAACCTCTCAATGTATAGCTGAGAGGCCTTGTCCTACTCAGTGCCAAATGTATGCAATACAGTCACTGCTTGGGCAATGACTGCACATTAGTAGGATTAAATTAAATTTACAAAGAACCCCTTAAAATGGTAAAGAGGTACTCCTGCATTCAGATGTGGAATATAATAATCCAGAAAGTGGAAGAGGAGAAACAGAAAAGTCCTTAGGTTACTGATTAAAGCAAGGTTTGATACAGATATCCCCTCTTGTAGGCACTCAGCGGGTAGAATGTAGCCACAACAAACTTCCCATCAAACATCCTTCCAGTCAGTAATTTCTGAGCAGCTTTGGAATCACCAGCATTTGCATACTCAACGAAGACCTGAAAGAGGATAAAGAAGACAAAGACATTTCATTTCTACCATGATCAATACAATCAATTTTAATGCATATATAGTCATACATTGCATAACCCTGTTTCAGTCAATGAAGGACTACATAAGACACAAAGCTGATAAGATTACACTGAAGCTAAAAATTTCTTATTACCTAGGATTTTTATTGAACCTTTTCTATGTTCAGATATGTTAGAAACATCAATGCCTACAGCTGTGTTACAATTGCCTATAGTCCTCAATCCAATAACATGCTGTTGTAACCTAGGGGCAGTAGACTATTTCCTATACTCAAGGTGTTTTTTATCATCTATATTTGTATAAGTATACTCTAGATTACCTAGAAATGCATTTCTCAGAACATATCCTGTGGTTAAGGTTAAGCGATCATCTTTATATCACTTGGGGATTATGCTAAAGTGCAGATTTTGCTTTCAACAATCCAAAATATGTCCTTCCTTCCTTCCTTCCTCCTTCCCTCCCCCATTCCCTCCCTCCCTTTCTTACTCCTCCCTCCCTTTTCCCTTCCCCCTCCTTCCTTCCTTTTCTCTTCTTTTTCCTTTCCTGTCTCCCTCCCTACCTCTTCTCTCTCCTCTTCCCTTCCTCTCCCTACCTCCCTCCTCCTTCTTTCTTTCCTCCCCCATCCCCCCCTTCTCCTCTCTCTCTTTCTCTTTCTGAGAGGGACATTGCTTCGTAAATAATTCCTGTGCTCTCCTTACCTGCTACAGATAAATCTTTCTCCACTGTTTAAAAAAAAAGCAAGGAAGGCTCTATGAGGTGGCATGTTATTATTCTAAGTGACCAGAGGGCCTGACATCAGAGAGAGCACTGATGTGATTCTCTGCATTGTTTAGATAAAAGAACATACTATAATGTATGGTCTGTTTGTTCCTACTAAGATTTTGTCACTTCCAAGATCCCAAGATTCCTGGAAAAGAACTGGAGCCATTTAGTTTTAGTGATTCAATTTCTTTGAATTTACTGACCACCTACCAAGTGAAGTTTTGACCATTTGACAGTTTTTGACAGTATATTTGCTATTAGAGAATTACTTAGATGAATAGAGTTCAGTCCACTTTTTCATGAGGCTCACAATAGCATAAGCATGAAGGTGAAAATGCTGCTTATAACATAAACAAAAAAAAGGAAAATGTTAGGGGTGTTCACAGGAGGAACACCTTTGTTAGATTGTATCTAACAAAGAGGATCAAAGATAAGATGAAGTAAGTGGCCATGAATGGGAACTTAGACAATAACTAAGATTTTGAAAGACCACAGGAAATAAGGTCTTATTATGGCCTAGTGTTTCTTATTTATTCATTCTAATATCTTTATTAAGATCCACCTATGCTTATGAACTTGTGTCTGCATTTCTTAACAAATTCCAATGCCAATGCTACTAGCCTTTAGACTATACTTTAGAGCAGTAGGGTTTAGAATATTTTTTTGGAACTCAATTTAACTCATCAAATTCATCAAAATCTATCAAAGACAAGCTGGGTGAAAAACTTTTTGCCAAGTTCATATACTGCCAAAGATAAGGCTGAATAGCCCAGATAACAACTATATTTCAATAATGCCTCAAAGATAATTTGCACTGCTAGAAATGGATAAGGGAAAAATATTAGTCAAAAGCCACTGGAAATTATACCTATTAACAGATTTATAGAAACTATAAATCATAGCTCTAGTAAGGAAGAAGTTCAAAACTAAGTGATCTCCTTTTCCAAAGCATCTGAATTCCTCTTTGAGGTAGAGAGAGGCTGTAACTAATAATTTACAGGTTCTTTCTGCTGACTTAGAACAAAACCTAGAGACAAGATTTGGAATGACTTTTCCTCAGTTATCTGTAGATTGGTGTATAAGACAAAGAACTGCCTCTCCCTCCTCAGTTGCAGGCCTCATTCACCATGTTGACAGTCTTCAACTATGGATCAAGCATCCTAGGACATTCAGACTTTCAGAGGGTTTGTGAAAACAGAATATTTTAAGGAAGTCAATTTCTAGATCCTCAAACTTCATTTTTACATTACCCTGATATCAATTTACCTACAAGTTCAGATAGGTTATCATTTTTCATTGTGCCTTTCATAGGAACCATTCTCTCATCTGAAAAAACAGTTATTTCCACAGGTATCAAAAATTCCAGGGCATAAAAAGAAAAAAGAATAGCTAATATAGTACTCTTCATTTTACGGAATCCTCCTTCATTGATAAAGCTCATGCCCTAGATATGACTAACTACTCCCTGTCTTATGCAAGTACTTCTGTTAAGCATGATGTATTTCACTAGACCTGGGGTATTTTGGCCTGTGATGGAATTTTCTGAATATATATACATATATATATATATACATATATATGTTAGAAAATGGAGATATGGGACTAATTTGCCTCTTTCATACCAAGACTGTTTTCAAGCTATGCATTATTCATGGAGACAAAATAGAGATCATCCAATGCTATTTTTAGCAATTTTTTGCCCTTTTCACATGAATAAAGATAGGTGGTACCCGTCAGCTGTTCTTAAAACTCATCCCTAAAATGTGTCATTAACTGGAAATAAAAGCACTTCCAAATGGCCAAACAGTAGCCAGGTTGTTTGTTTTAAATATCATTACATGGGGAAAAAGCTATTGATAAAAAATGTATGTGCTTTCTTTCAGAGTAGGTATATTTCATATAAGGTAGTTAAAAATTGATATTACTGAATTATGCCATGAAATATATAATCTGCTGGTGGAGTGACTCAAGTGGTAGAGTGCCTGCCTAGCAAGCATGAGGCTCTGAGTTCAAACCCCAGTGCCACCAAAAAAAAAAATATCTATCTATCTATATATAGATATATATAAAATCTAGTCCATTAATGTTCATTTTATCTTAGAAATTCTTAGTATTTCATATCTTTTTTTTTCACAAAAATTCAAGTGCATGTTGGTTGTAGAACCAGTTTTAAGCAATATCCACTTTTTCATTAAACATAAAAGGAAAGTTAAAACGTGATGTCCCATGAAAATAATGAATCTATTTTTTTTACCTGATTCTTAACTACTCACAAATCTATACATCAAAGCTCAATAAACGGAGACATGCTTTACAGAAAAAATACCATGTTTCTATCATACTCCTTGCTTCACAGATAATATACAATTTTATATTGTATTACCATTCCAAACTAACTAAATAAGAAAAGCATCATGTTTTTATAATGTATTGTGAAATTAATAATTATTATTGTCATTTTAATCTTAGCTACTTTTCATAACTGTGCAATACATTCATAAGTTATTTTTCAGAGTTTTTTTCTAATATCCCTTAAAATCATGTTTATTTGATTTGAAAAAATTAAAAGACTGGCTTTGTCAACTAAGTAATAGATACTTTCAACAGGATAAATAAGTTAAATCTAAGATTTAAGTTTATCAAAAGGATGTTTTTACTCTCCTTTATCAATGAAAGACCTCTCAATACAGAAAATTTCTTCTCACTGATAAAGACTTAAGTTTTTCAAATCATCTCAAAAGTGGACACTTCTCTCCTGAAAATATTCCGTTTTTCTATTCTGTGTCTTCCATCTCAATTTGATTACTGGGTTTAATATTGAGTCTGACCAGGTTAATCCTTGACTCAAAATTTTCAAATACCTTCTCTTCTTGCTCAGAGTCAAAGTCAATGTTATCTCAATGCCTTAAAGGCTAACTTCATCTGCCCCCTATACTCCCTAACCTCCTATTTGATCTAGTCTCCTACTATTCTTCCCCTTCCTCACTGTGGTATAGCCAAACTTCCTCAAATTGGCCTAGGACTTAGAACTTGTTATTCCTTTTGCTAGGGATTCTCTTCCTCATTTCCTTCAAATCTTCACTCAAATATAACCTTCTCAGAATGCCCTTCCCTACCACCCTACTGCAAAGGGCAACCTACTCTACCCCAGCACTCCTTAAGCTTCTTCCTCAATCTATTTTTCTCCCTTGCACTCATTGCCACTTTTTTTCTCTGTTTTGATCAATTTTTGTGTGCCAAGAGCCTAGACTGTAACAGAAGCTTAATAAATACTGGTTAAACACTAAACATCAATAATATATTTAGCAAGCTCTGACAATGAATGAGATGTTATTATTACTAGATTGGCAATAACTTTTCACCAAGACTTGAATGAAGTTCCTTTCACTTTTTTTTTCAGTTGCCAAGAATTTTCGTAATACTGAACTATAATATAAAATAGTAAACCACAATCAGCCAGAGGTGGTGGCACATGCATGTACTCCCAGCACTTGGGAGGCTAAGGCAGAAGGATCATGAGTTTCAGGTCACCCTGGGATATATAGCAAGACCCTGTCTCCAAAATACAACAACAACAACAAAAGCAATTCCACCTCTCAAAGGACATTTGGCAGCATCTAGAGAAAAATGGCCAAGGGAGGAGCATCTAATGGGCAGAGGCTGGGGATGCTGCCAATCATCTGACACTGCATAGGACAGCACCCTCAACAAAGAACAATGAGATTCAAATGTCAATAGTGACAAGAATAAGAAACCTGAAACAGTAAATCAATATTCTGTTTCTCCAAAACAAAAATTCTACAGGTAAAGATTTTAACTTCTTTGCCATATAATTCAGAATTGCAGAATTTCTAATGAAAATGGTTTTAGTCCATACATTTTATAGACGAAGTAAGGATCATAAAAAGAAAACTTAATCCCAGGAGAATGATGGAGAGGGTAAATTCAACTATGATATATTTGATATACTGTAAGAACTTTTATAAATGCCACAATGTACCCCCACACAGCACAACAATAAAGAAAAAGAAAAAAACAAAAAACTAGTCCCACTGAGACTAGAACTCAGGTTCCAGCATATTCAGTCCAGCATACTTTCCTTCTTTAAAATACTTCTGAGAATTTCTATTGTAGGCAGAACCTAACCCAATTGTTTTTCTAACTTTACTTAATTAGAGCAAAACTAGATCAAATATTTCTCTAGATGAACCTGACCTAAGTTAACGTCACTTTACAAAGGCTCAAAATTATGTTAACTCTTTTTTAAAAAACAAAGTTTCAGTGATTAATAAAGCAGGCATACTACAGAACTTTTTTTAAAAGTAAAATGCATAAGAAAGAAATAATCATCCATAATGCATAAATTCTTAGCAAGTTTTTGTGTATGTCTTTTTACAGAACATATTTAATGTGGATTTTAATAACATCTGAATAATTCTGCAATTATGACAACACTTACTTGTCCTCTGCCAGGATTTTCCTTTGGAACAAGCAGAGATACCACTGGTCCATATTTCTGACACTCCTCTTTTACATCTTCCACAACATCTGGTTACGAAAACACAACCACTTGATGTAATTCACAAGCGTTCATTATTTCAAACTTTTCAACTAAAGAATTTAGGGTATACAAGTAACGAAGTAGTTTTTCTTATCTTCGAAAGAAAAGCTTAAGAATATAAAATCAATGTGCTTAATAATTTTCTTTTTATATTTTAATGCTTTAGTTGACACGTTTAAGTATTTCAAAGTTTAAAAATAATAAAGATTTTAGTCTTCCTCCCCCTATGTTCTTAACTGCCATTCCATTACCACTCTTCTGGTGGTACTGGGGTTTGAACTAAGGGCTCTGTGCTTGCTTTGCAGGTGTTCTACTGCTTGACCCACACCTCCAGCCCCCTTTATCACTCTTGAAGACCACAAACATCAAATTTTAGGTATCCTGCCATAAATATTATCAGTTTATATAAGCAAATATGATTGCATACACTTTAAGAATGTTAGTTGTCCTATTTCTTTCTTAAATATATATCTCAGAACTTTCATATCATTATAGGAAATCTTCTCATTTGTTTTTACGGTTGTACACTCCCTTACCCTACGAATATTCAGTAAATTATATAACATGTCTCCTACTGACAAATAATTAAAATATTTCAAAACTTGCATCTCAGTTTCCAGAAATGAAATTGCTGAGTCAAAACTGACATGAATTAGAAATTTTGATACAATTATCAACTTGTCTTTCATAAGTAAACTCTCACCAGTGATGCATGGGAATATTCATTTTTCTGTACCCCATATCAAATGTTTTCTTCACTGTCAATATGTTGGGTAACAATGACACTGCAGTCTGGTTTTAACTGGCATTTCTTTCCTTCCTACAATAAATGTTAATATCTCCCGGACAAAACCCACATTCTTAAACACAGCAACCAAGTCTGTAAGATATGTATGCCCTGGCTACCTCTTTAGCTTTAACCAACTCTTTACAACAACTTATCTTAAAGATACAGTCATACCAACGTGCTGTTCTGAACATGCTATACTTTTATGTCTTTATGTTACTTCCCCCCAACCCCTCAACATTTAGCCAAACAATTCTTACTGAGCTCAGAATTAACCTCTGCACCACAGCCCTCACTCATCACTCAGACTAGGTTTACTCTCACTTCTCCCTGCCCTGTATGTTACTCTATCTTCGGATTACCACACTAATTATTTGTCTGTTTCCCCTATGTTCACAATGACACACAGTCTTAAATTAATATATTTGAAGTAAAGGAGTTGTCAAAAGCAAAAAAGAAAGCTAAAAAAAAAAAGAAATGAAAGCACAGAGAAGAGTCAGAAAACACAAACCAGATACACAAAGAATTGCCAGGGAAATTAAACATATTTTTGTTAATTTGGTAAAGATAAGATATAAAAGAATCAAAAGTACTTTATGAATGAGAAAGTCAGAGTATTTTAAAGATCCTATAATTTGATGATCTAATGAACTTTCCTATCAATTAACAAAGATAGGAGAATCTAAAATGTAGTTGAGGAAGTACTGACCTTCATATTCCTCTTCATTCTCAAGATAATCATCGTCCAGCACATTTAGGAGTCTTAGCACTGGAGTAGGAAGCATTACCAGATCTTCAATATGAGGGGCTGTTAAAGTTCAATAGGATATGATTATACAAAAATCCTCTAGAATAAGTTGCTGAATACCAAAGAAGTTTGAGAATATAAATTGTAATGTATCAAGTAGCCAGGGGGAAAAAAAAAACCCAAGACATCTTCAACTTACCAAAAGGAATGCTAAAGAATGGGCTGCACAATGCCATTTCAGCAGGAATCCTTCTGCTTGGATCATCATGAAGCATGCTAAAACATAGAAACAGGCATCTTTACAATCACTGTCAAATCTGAAAATGCAAAGACTCAAAAAAGTCTCAATGTTCATCACAGAATTAACTGTACTTGCATGAGTTATTGAATTATTCACTAAAAAGAATATAAATGTAGAGGCTGGCATGGTGGTATGGGCCTATAATCCCAGCTACTAAGGAAGTAGAAATAGAAGGATAGTGGTCTAAGGCTGGTCCAGGGAAAGACAACAGGAGACCGTATCTGAAAAAACAAACTAAAAGCAAAAAGGGCTTTTAAGTGGTAGAGAACAAGACCTTGAGTTCAATCCCTAGTAACACACACACACAAATATACATAATATTTATAAATGGTACTTGAGTAAGTGGTGCAATAAATCATATTACATATCTATAACATAATACCATACTGTGACTTAATGTTTTGTGATTAATAAATGAAACATAAGAAAATGAGCCATACCCTAAAACGAAGTGAAACAAAAGTTAAAGATTCAGGGTAAGGCAACTTAAACAAACGAACAAAAAAAAAGATGAAAAAGAGGATGGTGGTAAGATAATTGAATCTTGTCAAATTCCCCTAATCATAAAGCGATTTGTTTTTGTAAAACCAAAAACCCATGGATAATATCGACAACAAAACTATAAGGACAAACCATCAACAGCAGAAAGACTTATACCATATCAGTATCTATGTGTAAGAAAGCAGAGAAAAGCAACAGTGTATTTAATAAAGCAGAAGAGAATAAACCAAAAAAGTCAACAAGTAGAGCATAGCAGGCCATTTTGAAAAAAGTAGCTAAAAATGCAAGGTGTTATACATTTAATACCAATATAAGGGATTCTCTAAATTTTGAAGGGGATCTGAGTAATCTAGACATTAAGACCTCCAAAAACTAGCCAGCTGAGGTGCCCATCCATAGCAAAATCTCAGACATAGAAATCAGAAAAAAGCAAGGGAGGGGAGAACCAGATCACAGCAGAAAAAAGTGTGTGTGTGTGTGTGTTTTGTTTTGTTTGAGACAGGGTCTTGCTATGTATCCCAGGCTGACCTCAGGCTGAAGATCTTCCTATCTCAGCTCCCTAAGTGCTGAGATTACAAGTGTGCCCCACCATGCCTACTCTCTTTTTTATTTATTTATTTTCTTTTTGTGATACTGGGGTTTGAACTCAGGGTCTTGAAATTGCTAGGCAGGCGCTCTACCACTTGCACCACTCTGCTGACCCTCTTTTCTCTTTTTTTAAATTATATAAAAATAAAAGAAGAGTGGGCCCTATATAATTATAAAAGCTATCCCAAGTATACATTCTTTTATAAGTTTAGGAAAATTAATTTCACAGAAAAATAAGCAACACAAAAAAGATTACAATGAATCTATTATACAAAAAGAATTGCAAAACATCTCAGACAATGATTACATGCTAGAAATACACAAATACAGATGAACATTCTAAACTACCATTTCAAAATGAGACATTTATAAAAATGACGTATGATATGAAGCAGTAACAAATCCAAACTGCGAAATTATTTAATAACTCAGAAAAGAATTAGAATTTTTAAAAGGGATTCCATAAAATAAGATTGTTAGAGGAAATGTAGGAATGTATCAACAGAACAGATAATGTCTTTTTTTTTTTTGGTGGTGGCGTTGAAGATTAGACGGGCCTTGCACATGCTAGGCAAGCGTTCTACCACCAAGTTACATCCCCAATTCTTGTTTTTTTTTTTTTTTCGAACAGGGTCCTACTATGTAACTCAGACTGGCCTTGAACTTGACAAGTAGCCTAGCTGGCCTGGAACTAACAATCCTCCTGCCTAAACCTCACAAGCGTCAGGATTACAGAAATGTACCATCACGCCTGGCTCTAGAAAGTCATTTTAAAATTACACGGTTTTTAGCATTTTGTTCTCTTGCTTTGGTTTCCTCTTTCAGGAACTCCTATTCTACTGATGTTGAATATTTTTGGCCTATATTTAGTATTATCACTTTCTCTTGACTCTATTTTATTTCTTTCAACAGATGTATTTTTTTGGGAGGGGGGTCACACTGGGGTTTGAACTCAGCCTAGAGCTCTTCCACTTGAGCTGCACCAGTACCCTCAACCCTGCCCTTTTTGCCTTATTTTTTTAGATAGGTATCATGTTCTTTACCCAGGGCCAGCTTCATACCACGATCCTACCTGTGTCCCAGGTACCTAGGATTACAGGTGTGAGCCACAGTGCCAAGCAGTTTTTTTTTTTTTTTAACTTTTAAAAATGTTCCTCCTTTCTGCCTTTTGATTCTCTTTAGGTCATTGTCTGAAGCCAGGCATGGAGGTACACACTTGTAATTCCAGTGCTTAGGAAGTGGAGGTGGGAGGATCATGAGTTTGAGGCCAGCCTGGCCCACACAGTAAGGCCCTATCTCATAAAATGAAAGGAAATGATTAAAATAGCTTTCTAAAACAAACAGAAAAATTCTCAAACTATGCACTAAAATGCATACCATGTTCCTGAGAATACCGAAATTATCAAAACCAAGACTCACTCTGGTAAAATTGCTAGACTTTGAAGAAAAAGAGGAAATCCATCCAGCATCTAGACAAAAACCAAGTGAAATTTAATGCAAAGACAATTTTGAACAGGAACACTATATGTTAGAAGAAAATGCAGTAACATGATTCAAACATTCAAGGAGAAAAAGATGTATGCCAAAGAGTTTTATATCCACCTAAAAAGGCTTTCAAGTATAGAAAGCCTAGTTTCACTATTATTAACATGCAAGAACTAAGAGAATATAGTCTCCTAGAGAGCAAGATTCAGCCAACTAGAATGATTAGAGAGAGCAACACAAGAACCAGTGGTGAACATGAAACATTCATATTCTGCTGCATGCAGAACTAAAGTTCAATGAGATGAATAAAACAGACCTTGGATAGTACATAATGACTATATTATCTGACAATGCAGATATAACCATTTTTAAAATAGGGGGAAAAGTATATGCAAAAAGTAATTGTTTAAAGTAATCTTATTAGAGTACTATTATTCTGAGACAATTTTATGTGGAATGTGGAATAAAGCAAATAAATAATTATTTTATTTATTTATTATTACTATTCTTTTGGCAGTACCAGAGCTTGAATTCAGAGCTTTGTTTTTGCTAGGCAGGAACTCTACTGCTTAAGCCCTCTTCCAGCCCACAAATGAATAATTATGAAATATTCTAATTCTGGCATTCCTTAAGAACCAGGATATTAATGTGGAAGAAAGGTGATACAGATATAAAAAAACAAAAGCAAAAACCCTAGAGTCCTGAATTTCAGCTGGAAATAAGAGTGAACTCTGTCCACTTAAGAGGCTAGAAACAGGGGATTCCAAGATGGCGGCTAGAGGGAGGAAGCAGAAAGCGTGCCTCCTATAGTGAAATCTTGGAGAGACGCTAGAGACACACCTTGCAGGCAAAACCACAGAGAAGAGGCAAAACATTGACCACTCCACACATCCAGCCAGCACAGAGAATCTCCACTTCACGTTAAACGGAGAAACCAGGATAGGGTCAACCAAATATACAGGAGACACTCAAGAAATTCCAAGACAACAAAAATAGAGAATTTGAAAAAAGCAAAAGAAGAAATAAAGGAAACCATAGAAGCACTGTATAAACACCAAAGTGAAACAGAGAACACAATTAATAAACAGATAAATGAACTCAGGACAAAAATAGACAACATTAAAGAAAAAACCACCCAGGATATGGAAAACCTCAGAAAAAAGAACGAAACAGAAATGCAAAACAAAACGGAAGGCCAATCCAGCAGAATAGAACAAACAGAAGACAGAATCTCAGAACTTGAAGATGAAATGGTAATTAAAGGAAAAACCAAAGAACTATTAATTAAACAACTCAAGACCTGTGAAAAGAAAATGCAAGAACTCACCGGCTCCATCAAAAGATCAAACTTGAGAATCATGGGCATCAAAGAAGGAGAAGAGGTGCAAGTGAAGGGAATGTGTAATATATTCAACAAAATAATAGCAGAATATTTTCCAAATCTAGAGAAAGATATTCCCATACAGATGCAAGAGGCCTCCAGGACACCAAACAGACCACACCAAAATAGAACTACCCCACGACATATCATCATTAAAACAACATGTACAGAAACTAGGGAAAGAATATTGAAGGCTGTAAGAGAGAAAAAACAAATAACATACAAAGGTAAACCCATCAAAATCACAGCAGACTTCTCAATAGAAACATTAAAAGCAAGAAGAGCGTGGGGTGAGATCTTCCGGGCACTAAATGAAAATAACTTCAACCCCAGGATACTCTACCCAGCAATAAAAGTCTTCCAAGAAACTAAAGCAATATGTGACCACAAAGCCACCACTACAAAAGATTCTTCAAGGGATTCTGCACACAGAAAGTGAAACCCAACTTAACCATGAAAAGACAGGCAGCACCAAACCACAGGAAAAGAAAAAGCAAGACAGTAGAGAGTAACTCAACTTAGGTACACACAATCAAACCTTCAAACAACTAAGACAACTAAATGACAGGATCACCACATACCTATCAGTACTAACACTTATGTTAACGGACTTAATTACCCATCAAAAGGCACCGCTTGACGAAATGGATTAAAAAGGAAGATCCAACAATTTGTTGCTTACAGGAGACCATTCACCGACAGAAATAAGCATAGGCTTAGGATGAAAGGCTGGAAGAAGATTTACCACCAATGGCCCCCAAAACAGGCAGGAGTAGCAATACTTATCTCTGACAAAGTAGACTTCAAACCTACATTGATCAAACGAGATAAAGAAGGACATTCCATACTAATAAAAGGGGAAATAGAACCAAAAGGAAAATAATCATCAACCTGTATGCACCCAATGTCAACACACCCAATTTCATCAAACATACCCTGAAAGACCTAAAAGCATATATTAAACGCCAACACAGTGGTTGTGGGAGACTTTAACACCCCATTATCATCAATAGATAGGTC